ACCAGTTTGTTTTTTTCTCTCATTACTTTTTCATTGTTTTCATACTGAAGTAAAGGAGAATTATGGAATTTGACAATGATAATAAGATTGTTCTCTTATTCAAATAATCAAATTATATTAAAGTATAAAGGTATCTTTACGCTTCATATTAGTGGAATCTACAGTATATTAAAGATGTACAACTCAGAATTTTCCTTCAGTATAAAGTAATTATAATAAAAAATACTGAAGGAAATTATTTAATGACAGGCAGCCAAATTTAAAGAAAAAGATACTAGAAGGGTTAAAAGAAAGCTGAAAACCAGTTAGTTGTTGAATGTTGTATGGTATTGTATGTTGATTGGGTGCATCTACAGACAAACAAAGACATTTTCTTTTCTTCATAGGATTGATATTCTTTTTTTCTCACAAGATACTTCTGCCTCAGGATGAAAACAAGATTAATAAAATATTTGATATGTATTTTTTTTCAAGCAGAAAGATAGTGTTGTCAGAGTTGAGTATTGATTTAACTTGATAATGAAACTAACAACTAACATCCTGATCATTAAAGAACAGTTCAGTGTAGTGATTAATATATACTATATAGATTTATGTATGTAATAAGACAAGGCTTTTTATTATCATATAAACATGTACATATATGTATATAGAAATACTATACACAATTAAGGGGCACTGGTTCTGTATATGCATCAGTATGTGGGATTCAAGTTGAACAAATTATAAAGAAAACAATAAAGGGAAGAACAAGAAAACATGATACTATGCCAAATATGATATATTGCTTCTTCAGCCATGCCCTGAAGAAGCAATACAATGAAAAGACCTTCAGCATATTGATGTATTTTCATGTTTTTTCCATTGTTGTTTTATTTATGATATGTGTGTGTGTGTGTGTGTGTGTGTGTGTGTGTGTGTGTGTGGTGTGTGTGTGTGTGTGTGTGTGTGTGTGTGTGTGTGTGTGTGTGGTGTGTGTGTGTGTGTGTGTGTGTGTGTGTGTGTGTGTGTGTGTGTGTGTGTGTGTGTGTGTGTGTGTGTGTGTGTGTGTGTGTGTGTGTGTGTGTGTGTGTGTGTGTGTGTGTGTGTGTGTGTGTGTGTGTGTGTGTGTGTGTGTGTGTGTGTGTGTGTGTGTGTGTGTGTGTGTGTGTGTGTGTGTGTGTGTGTGTGTGTGTGTGTGTGTGTGTGTGTGTGTGTGTGTGTCTAGGTGTCCATGTGTCCATGTGTTTGCTTGTGTGTGTATGTGTATGTGCTGCTACTGAGCGTATACTTGTATATGTATTTGTGATTAGGTACACAACCTCAGATAAGATATCTTTTACATTTCACTTTGTTGTGATATAATTAAAATACATTTCCTTACATGATTAAAACAGAACCTGTTGCAGTGTCAGAAAAAAAAAACCTCGTTGAGATAGAGAGTTTTTCATGTAATACCTATCTGACCTTTGTGTCTATGATACTCCTCCAGCTCCGTTCATCGCCCTCACTTCCATCATCATAGTGGACCTGCTGGGCCTCAGGCAGCTTACCAATGCCTTTGGTCTTCTCTGTATCTTCCGAGGAGTGGCTGGGATCTTGGGTCCTCCAGTATCAGGTAGCATAGCTATCCACCTCCATCTCCTCCACCAAGCTGGGTCTTGCAAGGTCCAGCGTGCTTACAGGATATTCTTATTTCTTTTATGGTGGTTTTGGTTGCAGAGGTGGTGTGGTAGTGGGTGACAGTACTGGTTTAGTGGTGGTTTAGTGATGGTGAAGGTACAATGCAGCTCTCATGTCCATATGCCCAATTATCCTTTTCCTATTTTTCCGGTATGCAACTAATGACAATTAGAGAATGTGATGACCAACCACACACTCTTTACTGACTCGTCTCCTTCATAAGATTACCAAAACTTCATAATGCACCAACTGAAGCATGAACTGTGTGATGCACTCTTTCTTTTTTAATATTTTGCTATAAAAAATCAGAAGAAAGACAATTGGTTAAGTCAAGCAAAGTTTAAAGTTAAATGTGGTAAGTAATAAAGATTATTCACTAATAGCTTGCTAAAAACTATGTTCGACTGAAAGTCATTTCCCATGTACATATTTCATCTATGAGCATGGAAGACAGCATCAGCAAAATTTTGTGACTCTTATCACAGGAATATTCCATGTGAGCACTTAATTGTTTCTGATGTTCTACATTACCATGGATATTTTACATCACATTAAACTTTATTTGCACATATAGTGTATAGAAAATAAGATTTCAGCAAGTGTAATACACAACGAATTTAAGAAAGGAATAGATTCAGTATTTTTTTTTTCTCAGCACATCGTAGTGTAATATCTCGGCACCACCAAAGTTTAAAACATTTCCAAATCCAACCAGTAGTTTCTGTATTTGTTACAAATTTGACATCATGGAAAAAGAATTATGATTAAAAAGTCTGAAATGCAGATTTGAAGTGATGGTAATGTACAATAGATTTCCCATTATCCTAGACATTAGACA